AACAAAGTTGGATTTAGTATTTTCTCCACTTTCAAAACGTTTTATTCCAACTTTATCAAAAGAAGCTTTAAGATCATCAATTTTCTTTTGATGATCATCATTGACCTTTGAAAGTAAATTTTGCAAATCTAAATTTTTCTTTTCAAACTCTTCTAGTTTGATTTGCAAATCTTTGATCTTACTTTCAAGATCGTTGTTGGTTTTGGATATGAGCTTATTTTCATTTTTATATTTTAAAAATAATTTCTCATAATCCGAAGCCAACCCATTATATTCCTCTAATAGCTCATCATAGGATAAATCATCAAAATCAGATGAGTTAGAGGTTACCTTAGAATCTTCCCCGAATGCCATCAAGCACAAGTTTGCTACTTCTTGTTCCTCTTCATCGGAACCTTCTTCGTCACTCCATGTAGCCACATGAGCCTTGTGCTTATTCTTTGATTGACCATTTCTCTTCAATTGTGGGCAATCATATTTGACATGCCCTGGTTTTTTGCATTCATAGCAAATGATTGGGTCCTTCTCTTTTGGTTTATTTTTGAGGCCTTCATTTCGTTTGAATTTTCTTCCTCGGTAAGGTCTCATCATTTTTCTGAACCGTTTGGCAAATAATGTCATTTCCTCGTCATCGTCATCTTCATCCGAATCACTCTCATCTTTTGTGGATTTGAGAGCAACTCCAATGTTTTTCTTCTTCTCCTTCTCCTTTGGTGTCTCTTTAATCTTATCAAGGTCCACCTCATCTTCAAGCATCATTTCATGAGTGAGGAGTGACCCAATTAGCTCTTCAAGAGTAAAGGACGTTAAGTCCTTAGACTCGATGATTGTCGTCTTCTTTGATTGCCACGATTTTGGGAGGGAGTAGACTAACTTCCTCACAAGCTTTTCATTTGAAATGATCTCTCCATATGATTTGAGACCATTGACAATCGTTGAAAATCTATCCGTCATAGCTTTGATATCTTCATTTGGTTTCATCCTGAAATTTTCATAGCTATGCATTAGAATACTAATTTTAGATTTCTTTACCTCATCGGTATCTTCATGAGTGACTTGAAGTTTGTCCCATATTTCTTTGGCGGTTGTACACGATGAAACTCTTCTGTATTCATCTGGTCCAAGAGCACAAAAAATTATATGGATGGCTTTGGAGTTGAGCTGGAACATTTTTGTCTCTCCTTCACTCTACAATCTTGGATGAGTGAGAGGCTTGATGTATCCTTCTACTACGACATTCCATGCTCCCATGTCACTTGCTTGAATGAAGTACATCATTCTATTCTTCCAATAGGCATAGTTAGCTCCATTGAAGAAAAGAGGCTTGTTGACAGGCATCAAATCGAGACCGGAGTCGAAGTTTGAAGCGGAGGCCATTGATGACTTTGATTATCGATATAACTCTTCCCGAATCGACTCAAGAGGCAATTAAACCTTCAAATGAGTTAGGCTCTGATACCAATTTTTGAGTTAATCGATTGACGGAATCGGCCAAGAGGGGGTGAATTGGCAATTAAAATTTTGGTGGAAGCTTTTGCAGAAAATTGAAAGTAATTGCACATCGATTTAGAGTGGTTCGACTTTATCAACCAAAGTCTACGTCCACTACCTTAGCGATCCACACTAAGGATTTTCCAACAAATTCACTAATTTGTTCTTTCTTTTGAGGACAAAGAGTAACCTTACAACTCCCTCAAGAATTATACCCCAAATTCTTTGAGCACACTCTTTTTCAAAGAGAAATACACAAATTTGCAAACTTACAAGGAAAACCTCACAAGGTAAGATGTTTGCAAAATTCTAGAACAAGAAAAGAACACTCACAAATAATTACAAATGAGCACAAATGGTGTTCTTTGAAAGCAAAATTAATATTGAAAGGAAAATTGGCTTGATTTTCACAAACTTGGTGTTTGATGATTTCTCTCTTGTTTCTCTATGATTTCTTATTGATCAAAGGCTTCAGAACTTGTTTAAATACACCTTATATCACTTATGAACGTTGGGGATGATTAGTGAAGATCATATAGCCGTTTTAGTGTGAAAACAATTAATAAAACAACTTGGAGCGTAGGGGAATCGGTACCCCCTATGGGGAATCAGTTCCTTAAGTGTAAAATTCAAATATTTCGACCGTTATACAAGGGGGGAATTGGTACCCCTGGGGGGGAATCAATTCCCTCCGAGCATACTGGAATTCTCGGAGCCAAACCATTCAGGGGGGAATTGGTGCCCCCTTGGGGGGGAATCGGTTCCCTCTGAGCAATCTGGAATTTTTTGCTTTAAATGGTTCGAAATACTTTGTAAAATTATTTTGAAATTGTTTTAAGATTAAAACTTAATTTTACACTTGAGTAAGGATTAAAAATGATTTTTGAAAGATTTGGAGTAATGTTTTGATATTCGAATAGTTATATCGAATATACTTAGAAAATCATTTGGAAAATCTTAAAATTCATTTAACTTAATTTGTTATATCAAAATATCAAAATGTTTTCAACAGATTGGTTTGTAGGCTAAAGAAGGCTCTGTATGGGCTGCGTCAAACGTCGTGTATGTGGTATGCCAAGTTGCGCAACTTCTTGTTAGAACTAGGGTTTTATGGCACAACAGTTGATGCGTCGTTATTTGTACGTCGAGTGGGTGGCATTTGTACACTGGTGCTTGTGTACGTAGATGACATTATCATCACAGGTGAGTCGAATGATGTTGTTAATGAAGTGGTTAGTTTACTTGGTAAAACGTTTTCCTTGAAAGACCTGGGAGAGCTTGGATATTTCCTTGGTGTTGAAGTTCGTAGGTCGCCTGAGCAGTTGGTGTTAAGCCAGCGCAAGTTCATTCAAGGGTTGCTAGAGCAGACTGGAATGCTTACTGCCAAACCCGCACCTACACCAATGATGGTTTCACCAAAACTAACTTGTGATGCTGGGAAACCGCTTTCAGACGCATGGATGTATCGAAGCATAGTTGGTTCCTTGTTGTACTTGAGCCATACAAGGCCATATATTGCATTTAGTGTTAATCGAGTGGCTCAGTACATGCATTATCCTTGTAATGGCCATTGGCTTGCTGTTAAGAGGATATTGCGCTACTTGAGTGGCATAGTTGATTGTGGCTTGATGTTCAGGCGGTTGTCTGCGTTTGAAGGTTGCTATGTGACTGTGTTTGCTGACACTGACTGGGCCAGTAACGTTGATGACCATAGGTCAGTGTCTGGCTCATGCGTGTTTCTTGGCTGCAACTTGGTCTCATAGAGTGTGAAGAGGCAGAAGACAGTGGCTCGTTCAGCAACAGAAGCTGAATACAGGAGTATTGCTGATATAGTAGTTGAGCTGATTTGGGTTAGGTCTCTGTTGGCAGACATGGGTGAAGCAATTGATGCGATTCCGGTCTTGTGGAGTGATAATACGAGTGTTATTGCCATGAGTGCTAATCCAGTGTTTCATACACGATCGAAGCATATCGAGTAAGATATACATTTTGTGCGTGAAAAGGTTGAGTGTGGAACTGTTCGAATTAATTATGTACCAGCAGAGCATCAAGTTGCTGATGGGGTAACCAAACCGTTGGCTAAGTCTGCACATGTGTTGTTTACTCAGAAAGTGCAGGTAGCAGAAAAGGGAACAGCTGAGAAGGACGGGGAGAATGTTGAAGCATGACTGCATGCGTGTGTGCAGTATAGCTTGGAGAGAGAGTGTGTGTGTGTTAAGCAGTTAATGTGCATGTTGTTAGATTAGTTAGAGTGGTTAGAAGCTGCTATAAGGTGTTTAAGGCTGTAAGCTTGTGTATAAATGTACTACATGTCCTTGGTTAATAACATACTCTTGTATCTTCTTGATAAACTTCAAGATTCTTGTGCATCATCTTCAACATCCAGTCAGATGAGATGTGCAAGTGCAAGCGTGATCCTTTGAAACCATACATGGATGTTATTGATAATATGTTAAGCCCAAATGGTATTTCTTGGGTTATTGAAATGAAGCAGCCGACCACTTGAGCCACTCGCTGGTTGAAATGGAAAGAAGAGACCCACAAATATCGCACAAGCAGACAAGTCGTCAGCAACAACTATACTGCCATCAGAGAACAGAATCGGGATATATCAAATCCTAAATCACTGGAGATAAACATTATCTCCCAATCATTTTCCGGTTTCCAAAAGCGAGCACCATCCTCTGGATTGGCCGATAAAATGAGATCCGGGTTTCAAAGGCCAAAAAGTTTCTCCCCCACCATGCCCCGTTTGAACTCATCTGATTCCCGTAGTTGAGATATCCCAGAGACTGAAACGGCCATCAGTGGACGAGGATGAAGCAGAAATGAAGGCCGCCCGTTCTACAAGATGATAGTAAATTGGCATGGACAGATGCAGCTGCTGGTATGACTGGTGATACGAAATGGTAAAGATTATATTAGCTCATTGAATTGTTGCGTTCCCTTTAGAGTCTAGTGGAGGGTTTTTTGGACTCGGCACGCTTGAATGTCAACACTTGAACATTTCAAACAAATACAAAGACGAGGGAGTGAGCGACTCAAGCGCTGTTCAAAGGCGGTCTTCATCAACCGTGCATTATTATAAATAAAATAGTTTTAATAAATCTTGAAATATTCTTGTATGACTCAAAAATATTTTTAATAATATAAAATTTTTGTGTAAGGTAAATACAAATAAAATTTTAATTTAAAAATTATGAATTTTAGGTTGAGCTCATATCCGTCCTGAATTAGTGATGGATCTGCCACTAGGTATAACGTTTAAAGATAATTTAACTTTTATATGTTTCATTGGTTTTTTATTGTCGAATGATATTTTTTACTCTTCATTATTGAAAGATATTTGAATGATTATAACCTAGTCGTGTGTCATGAAGAAGATTAAAGGATAAAAAACAGGGCAATCCAAATCCATATTCATGTTGATTAAAACAAATGATTCAAACCTGTTCATTACAACATAATCAACAAAGAAAAAAAAACAAACTTATGCACAAGTTACTAAAATTGTTTCATATTCATTGAAATTGAAATTGAACCCCTATAAACTGTTTCAATCAAATTCTCATACTGGTCGACTGCATCACAAGATCCATCTTCTTCCCTTTCAAACGAAGCAACTTGGACCAAAACCCTTTTCTTTCCTTGTTCTTCTTCTTCTTCCGATTCTGAACGTCTTCATCATCGACCTTTCTTGGAACAAAAGCAATCGATCTACTCTTCTTCAAGCCATAATTGTCACCAACTTTCACCATGAAAGAAGACGATCTGGCGACTCCCATCACTTCAGAACCGTTCCTCCGATGCGAAATACGACGTGGGGCTGGTGATGCAGAGTTGGAAGCATAATAAGGAGCGAGTCTTGTAGATTCGTTGAGAGGCGTGGAACAAAGACTAGACAACCTTTCCCTTAGACATGAAGGGCAAACCCCTTGATTTTGGTGCTGAGATGGGTGGATCTTGCATTCTGATTTCGAGAGGCCCATAATCACAAATTTTCTTTTCTATTTTTTCACGCTTCTGGTTTGATTTCTGTTATGCTGTATATAAGCGGGACAACTTGGGGGGAAACAATTTCTAAGGAAGGTTCCTCGTACGCAGCAAACAACTTCTGCGTTACTGGTGAGTGCGATTGCCTGAACCAATGTCGGGTTCATCACCGTTGGATCATAGTGGAGGCAGAAGAAAATGTCGAGAACAGTCAGCCTGTTTAGCTTCTCTCTTTTTTCCCCACGTGTGATGCTGACCATAATCTTTGAAGTTTGAAAACTGGGTCCCATCTATCTCGGCTGATTACGTGAGACTGAGAAACACTTATTTTAGATCGAGAATTTTCTAATGCCATGTGTCAGCACGCGTAATGCTGATTATACGTGCCGTGCCATAATATTTGATTACAGCCAAAATGCAATATAACAACTGTATTGTAATATTTTTTTCAAGATTATCGTGATATTATAATTATATTTATAATATAAAAATACCATTATTTTTATAAATAAATTATATCACACCGTTCATAATACTCAGAACTGTAATGCTAATCGAAATTACAATCACAATTGTAATTACAATTTAGTACTATAAATCGTGCTTAATAGTGCTAAAAGTTTATGGTTGGGCTTAGTCTTAAACATGGGCTCGTTTTAGCATCGTCTGATTGGCCCAAGTTTTCATAGGTAATCCAAGCCTAGACGACTTAACTTCACCATCATTATAATAAATAAATAAAATTAACTTCACCATCATTGATTATAAATGTATAGCAGGAAAGTAGTTGTCGAAATCAGAGCTGATTTAATCAAAGCTTTCCAACAGCACATGCTAAATTTCTTGTCCAGACAAGAGTGACCAAAAATGGACTTAAAGTTCAAGTATTTGGCATTAGCAAATCCCGTAGCTGCAGACAAAGGTTCAACCCAATCGTCCCTTTCCACAGTTAATTCGCTCGAAAACGAAGTGAACCGTCAAGATTCTTCCCTAATGCCCCATCTCGACAACACCCTTAGCTACCACCAAAGGCCATGTCCAGTAAAACCCTTTTATGGCCAAAAATAAATTCAAAGTCACCTTCAATCAGGGTTGAACCTGTCTATCTATATGTATATATTACCTCTGCTATACTCATTAATACGGTAGCTCCTTTGTCCTATCAGCTACGCTATCCAACTACACACAAGCTCAATCTTGGGAGCTTTCACCTTTATGATCCATCATCAAACCCCACCTGTCATCCGAGGCGAGAATTAAATTACAATTGATATCATAGGATGGGATGTTTGATCCTTTACATAGGTCATAAATTCGAATCATAACAGTATGAACTATGAGATAATTTTTCTTACAATATTTATATCGATCAATCACATGTTCTACTAATCATATCTAAATCACATGTTCTACTAATCATATCTAAGACATCATATACATATAAATTATCTTTGAACGAACAAAACGATATCTCCAAAAAAGATATCCAGAATTTGCCTCAAAACAAAATATTCTACTACTAGTTTTTTTTTTTTGACAATTTATGGAGTAGTAGTGGTGGCAGGTTTTAAATTACGGTCGTATTTTCGGTCATTTCAGATTTACTGTGATTGTGATAGTCATTAGCACTATTACCGGTATAGAGGGTAACAAAGACGGCGACGAAATCGCTATTTCACAGGCACTATCACGTTTTTAGACCGTGATTTAAAATCGAGTGGTTGAGCCGAATAATACAAAGGTGAAGCCCGAGAAGTGGGTATTTGAAAAAGACAAAGTTGATTGAATGATTTGTATCCCATGATCCTAACAAGGTGGCACGGAAATTTAGGGCCAAAAAGAAAAAGAAAAGCTTAGATGCTTCCGGGGATCTGTGTTTTGAATAAATTGAAAGATAACAGTTTGCGTGTGATTTAGTGTTTTATCTGAAGAATTTGGACAGTGGGAGCAGAACAGGGAAAGAGACGACAAAATCGTAGGTCCCATCTTCAGCCTTCTGACAAAGGAAAAATATATTAGAGTAGGTATGGGTCTCTGCCACCATTGCTCCATTTACAGTTATTACTCTCATCGTCTTCACCATGTAAAACATAATTTGTTTACCATTGCCTCTTTTTCTTTCATTAAAATTACACCTGTCGAAGTTTAGTTATTGAATTGGGTACCTATTGATCATTCTTTATACAAAAAGTTGATTGAATCTTTCACGTTTGGTAAAAACTTTTCCATATAAAAAAGCTTGTTGCTTGGAGGGGGAGTGGATTTCTGTTTTTTATAATTGATTTTTGGATCTTGTTGACAAGTTTTTAGTAAGATTTTCTAATTTTTTTATAAAATGTTTTAGTTATTTTAATTTTTTTTCCTTAGAGATAGATTTTAATTTTCTTAGAAGATAGATATATTTGTTATTATTTTTTTAGTTGTCCTCCAGTTCTAAGGCTTCGTTCTGATTAATATAGACCGACTCTGGTCACACACCTAGTTTCGGTGGGTAAGTATCTCTGCAGGAATTTTTTGCATACACAAAGACTCGAACTTGATATTTTACTTAAGCGATATCAAATTGCTTACCACTTGAACAAACCTCGTTGATCGATATATTTGTTATTATTATCAATATATGATGTTGATACTTTCTTAGAAAATATTATAAGATAATCGAATATTAATTTTTTTTAAAATATAAAATGTTTATATTAGTTTTGATCACGCAACACCGATATACAAGAAATCTTAATTTTGAATATGAAACAATTGATGAGCCTGCGGCGCACTTAGTATATTATAACACATTATTAAAGCAATATACCGAAACATATTATTAAATAGATTGTTCTTATTAATTAAATATAAAAAAGATAAACTACACGTTTTGTACTACGTAAATTATTACTTTTGTTTCGTTTTAATATCTAGACTTTAACTTTTTTAAAACCATTAACGATAATATTTCTGTGGTATGATGCGTCAATTTTTTATTTTTTAATTATCACAACACTTTTTTCTTTATTCGTCATTATTTTTTAATTAATTTTATTCAATCAATTAGACGGTGACACGCTTCACCATCTATGAGGATAAAAAGATAAAAATCATTTCACTCCAAGTATAAATTGAATTTGGGTCTCTTACATGAGATACAAATAATTCAACCATTAAGTTAAACTAGTCATTTGAATATCACATTTTGTATTTAACTTATATAACGATATCACCACAAAATTAATATTTTTCGATGATTATAAGATTCAAATATGAGACACTTTTAATTAATGACCGAAAGTTTAGCCACAACTATAATGTGAATCTATTTTTATTATATTAAACTTAATACTTACCTATATCATTATTAAATTAAAAGAATAATTTTCACTTTATTTAAAAATAAAAATGATTAAATAATTTTTATATATTTATAAAATTTATATGAAATAATTATAAAAATATATTTATAATATTATAAAAACATTAAATTAATTTTTAAAATCATATTATTTATTTATTTATTTTAAATAATATTTATTTATTTTAAATGATATTATTTTTAAATTATCTATTTAATTTTAAATGATATTATATGGAACCAAAGTGATAGTTGGGTATTAAACGAGTAATTTACCCTAAATTTTAACTTATTTAAAATTAAATAGATAATTTAAAAATAATATTATTTTAAACAAATAATTAACATGATTTTAAAATTAAATAAATATTTTTATGATATTATAAATATACTTTTTACAACAATTTCATATAAATTTTATATAAATATATAAATATATAAATTATTTCATTATTTTTATTTTTAATTTTAATTATAGTGAAAGTTAATCTTTTAATTTATGCTCCTAATATGAATTGAAAATTATATAAGTTAAATACAAAATGTGATGAAATTTAACCAAATGATTAGCTTAGCTTAATGGTTGTGAGATCTATATCTCATGCAATAGACTTAATTTCAATTCATATTAGGAGCATAAATTATTTCTATCTTTATATCCTCGTAGGTGATGACATATGTCACCACGTAATTAGTTTAATAAAATTAATTAAAAAATATTGACAAATAAAGAAAATGGTGATGTGGTAATTAAAAAAATGACATGTCAAGCATTATCGTTAATGGTTCAAAAAAATAAAATTTAGATATTAAAACAAAACAAAAAGTGATAATTTATGCACAAAATGTGTAATTTATCCTTTTAATATTTACTTAATAAGGACAATTTAGTTAGTTGTTTGTTGTTGTATGACGTACGTCGTAGAATTTTTCATGAAACAACAAATAAATTGATAAACAAACAAATTGAATGCAAAATATACCTTATTATATTCTAAGTTATAACAAGCTTATCCTCCAAAATTCAAAATAATCCAAAGTATATTTTATTTTGTATCTATAGTCGTATTGTTTGACGTGGTATAGGGCACAACCATGTGAGGGTTTATTGCCCATCTCTCTCACGCTCCTCTCTTTTAACCTCTTCCTTTACTTATCCTTTGGCTGATATGAACGTTGCCTTATGAATTCTTGTATTAGTTATGTTGTCTTATATTTACATAAATATTGAAATCAATGTAAGTATATAATATTGTCGCAACCGTTTTTTTGACCGGTGGGGGAAAGACCGATACCGACTCGGGGGTTTTCTCTTTGAAATGATTTTCAAAATATGAGGAGTCGCAATCATTTAAGGTGAGATTAGAACACCGTGAAAACTAGGTGATTTTAATAAAATGTTTTATTTTAATAAAATACCGAGTTTTGGGGTCTGCGAAAATCCAAAAATCAGGTTCAGGAGTCAGTTACGCGTGGGGAAGGATTAGCACCCCCACAAGCGCCCAAAAATTGGTACCTAGTTGATTACCCTGTATTTAAAATTAGAAATTTAGAGTTTGATCTTTATTTAATTTAAAAATCATTAACGATGCAAAGTTGAAAAGGGTATTCGTTTATCGAGACCGATAGCATTCACCCCCGAGTGTAAATGCGGTAGATCAACTATTGTGCCTAATAACCAAATATTGCCTCATTTTTAGAAAACATGATGTGGTTTTGAAAAGGATGTTGACTTATTCAAGGAATTACCAGTAGTCAACCCCTGAGCACGATCGCGGGAGATATACTATTAATTCCTTAATAAGTGAACAGTGTCTTAAATTTGTAAAAACAATGCAATCAAACAAAATTTTATTTTTCTATAAGTAAACTAAAGCCTTTTCTAACTTAAAGTTTCAAATTATGAAAATTAAAGAACCTAGATGCTCAAATCTAAAAACGTAGGCTCTAATATTAATCCTATTTGATTTTAATTTGATTTATGATCTTATAAAACAAACATCAAAGGTATTATTTTATACCAATAATCATTTAAAATACCTTCCTAATTAGTTAAGAAAATATTTCATGTTTTATTATATAAAATAATTTAACCTTAACACATAATAAATTTAATGATTAAATCAAGAAAATATAAAAATTCAAAGTCACTATTGCGATGTTTTTCTTAATATATATATATATATACCTTTTTAAAAAATAAAGTAAAAATAATAATAATAAAATACCAAACATATTAAAATATTTAATAAAGTATCATGATGTATACATGCAACATGAATAGCTTTGTATTTAAAGTGAGAAATAATAAATGTAAATTATAGGATGCATAGTCATATACATGAAAAGTATAAAACACATTAACCATATGAACAAATTAATTGAAAATTATCAACTAAATTTATTGCATAATACATGCACATATATATATATATATATATATATAAATGAGACAAACATATAAACAAATTACACCCAAAAGTCAAACAAGTTGATGCCTATATTAAAGTTATAGTAAATTATAATAAGGGAAACAAAATTATGGGTCACAATCAAATTAAAAATATATATTTTGTAAATATGAAAACAACTTATGAATCACGTGAAAGTGTAAACATATTGAAATTAATCTTCATATATTACAATAAAACATAATATAAAATAAAGTGGGTCATATATACATGTACGCATAGCACTCACACATGAAAAACAATTGATTTATATGGGTTTTAAAGGAGGGAAACAATGATTAAAATAAGGAAACAAAAAGCTAGGGGGTCTAGAACCTAATTTACCATTCACTTCAATGACTAAAATTTAAATTACCCTAAAAATGTAATATAAATCCTACTTTTACACTTAACCTAGACTAAGCAAGCCCCAGCCGTTTCTATTCTTCATCCCCCATCTCTAACTCTTCTTTTGTTTTCACAATTGGCCGAATAAATCCAGAGCCAAACGCCTATCTTTCCCATGCTCCGGTCACTCAAACAGAAAGTTACATAACTCTCTGTGCCGACCACCTAGCCTCTCAACCACGAGGACAACCACTCCGACAGTAAGAGATCGCAACAATAAGGTAAGAAACTAAAACTTGCTTATTTCCATTTTTTATTTTCGAAATCTCAATAAATGATAACTAAACCGAAAAAGAAAACATGCAAGGATGCAAAACAACTTACCACGATCTCACCCAACTTCGGCGACAGATGTTCCGACAACGACGAGACAATAAGCGAGGAAGGTAACAAAACGAATTTTTTTTCTTATCTTTTATAATTTCTATTTCATTCGTAACCAAAAAACGAAAATAGTTCTTGAAAGATGACTAAATGCTTCTGAAATTTGCATTATGTATTTGTTTCTAAAAAACGGGTAGAACCCACTGTAACACCGCTTTGTTCATTACAACGAATCCCTCTTGTCTGTTGAAGAACCAGACTTACAAACTGTTTTCACTCCGTTTTTTATCGTTATTGATCCCCCAATTTGTTTCCCAATTGATGGTTGATAGAGTTGATCATCCCCTATTTATGTTTTCTTTGATTCGAATGATTCTCGTGTTTTCCCCCCAATTTATAATTTTTTTCCCTCAAAAATCTAAATTTCTCCTTTTGTTCTTCGATCCCCCCTCCTGGTATGCGAATCTGCTCCCCAATTTTATCTCCTCTTCTTCACCGAATATTCTTGTCATCTTCTGTTAATTTCCTTGTGTTTGGTGAAATTTTGATTGGAGCAGGTAAAGTGATTAATTATTTGCTGACTTTGGAGATATTTTAATATGGATTTGTTGTAGGTTTCACGTGGGCAGCTCGGTTGGGGGTGCTGAAAGGGCGTGCACAAGTTGCTGCTAGGTTGAAGTGATCCACGTGGGATGCATGGGTGACTGTGGTGGAGTTGCTGCCACCGGGTCGGATCTTGTAACGGGTCTGGATCCGAGTCATGTAACCTGTAAAAAATAGTTATATTAATAATAATAATAATAATAATATATAATAATATTAAAAGACGAGACGAAAAATAAGTGTCGACGGCTGCCCCTCTTTGTCTATTCTTGTGTCAACAAGAATAGGGCAAAGATGAAAAGACAATGCATTTTTCGTCTGGTCAACTTCATGGTTTGAAATATGATGAGGGATTTATTCTCCTATCACTCAGGGAATATCAGATCTGGGGATGTTGATTCATTAAATCAAGGTAGACTTGTTCCGCTGTTACTCAGGAAATATCAAATCTTGAAAAAGATGGATATGTTCCGCTTCCTCTGAGGGAATATCAGATCTGGGAAAGTTGATTCATTGAATCAGAGTAGACTTGTTCCGTTGTCACTCAGGGAATATCAAATCTTGAAAGAGAGATCTGTTCCGCTTCCTCTGAGGGAATATCATATCTGGAAAAGTTGATTCATTGAATCAGAGTAGACTTGTTCCACTGTCACTCAGGGAATATCAAATCTTGAAAGAGAGATCTATTCTGCTTCCTCTGAGGGAATATCAGATCTGGGAAAGCTGATTCAATGAATCAGAGTAGACTTGTTCCGCTGTCACTCAGGGAATATCAAATCTTGAAAGAGAGATCTGTTCCGCTTCCTCTGAGGGAATATCATATCTGAGAAAGTTGATTTATTGAATCGAGGCAGATTTGTTCCGCTGTCACTCAAGGAATATCAAATCTTGAAAAAGAGGGATATGTTTCGCTTCCTCTGAGGGAATATCAGATCTGAATTTGCTTCACTACTCTTTTGTGAAGGCTTAAGATTGATTTGTTTCACTACTCTTTGGTGAAGGCTTAAAATTGATTTGCTTCACTACTCTTCGGTGAAGGCTTTAGATTGCCCGGAGGACTTAATCGTCATGCTCGGAAGGCTTACTGATGGATCTTCTTCACTACTCTTCCGTGAAGGCTTATGATGGATTTGCTTCACTACTCTTCCATGAAGGCTTATGATGGATCTGCTTCACCACTCTTCGGTGAAGGCTTTAGATTACCCGGAGGACTTAATCATCATGCTCGAAAGGCTTACAGATGACCCAAAGGATTTAAGCATCATGCTCGAAAGACTTACAGATGACCCGAAGGATTTAAGCATCATGCTCGAAAGACTTATAGATGACCCGAAGGATTTAAGCATCATGCTTGAAAGACTTACTGATGACCCGAAGGATTTAAGCATCATGCTCGGAAGACTTACTGATGACCCGAAGGATTTAAGCATCATGCTCGGAAGACTTACTGATGACCCAGAGGATTTAAGCATCATGCTCGGAAGACTTACTGATGACCCGAAGGATTTAAACATCATGCTCGGAAGACTTACTGATGACCCGAAGGATTTATAAATTTTGGAAATATTTTACTAGGTAAGAAATCTTTCTTACTTTTCAAAAATTTCAATTTTCAGATTTAAATGAGAAACATTTCTCTTTTTTTGATAGACATGTGAAAACATTCTTTACTTATAAAACAACTTAATGGTTGGAGAACATGTCCCACTTCAAAGTAATGCTTTCTCTGTGGATTTGACCCACCCTGTTCTTCAGGTTCGCCTCTCTAAACGTGATTTCTTGCGTTTGAGGTTTAAATTCTAGCTTCGATTTGTTGGGATTTGGATATCATGAATCTTTTTTCCCTAGAAGATCTGTAAAAACCAAATGTTTATGTGTGAAATGCGAATGCAATGCAATATGTTCTCATGCATGTGTAAATGGTGATTCAGTTTTCCTTTGACTCGAAGGTGGGGAACCATGTCTTCTTCCTCTTGATTATTCTTCTCTAGGGTTTACGCAAACATTGGCGTAGCAACTTATCATTTCAAGCTTGCATTCTTCTGAAGATCTTTTCGAACATCTTGTAGTCTTTACTTTCTGTCTTCATTTCAGATGAAGTGTTTTATCTCTCAACTTCTTTCCATGGTCAGAAATGGGACTTTGTTGCCCCATTTTGGAGACTATGTATATGAATATGCCAAACTCCGCAAAGATCAATGGGATAGCATCGTCTATTCTGATTGGACTCATGTCACAAGGAGGATCTATCCAAAATTTTCATGTCATCGTATTTAATCAGATATCAAATAAGACTTGTTTACATCATCCCATGTCGAGAGGTCTAATAACATCCCATCATTCAACCTCAGTTGGTTCCATTAGTCTCTTGCTGTTAAAAGTCTATCACCTCTTTTGTGGAAAGAAATCTTCATCGTTTCCCCTTTTTAACCTTGGGTTGTAGAAAACAACATCCACATTAGGTAATGCAACATTGGTTCAACATCATATTTACTGGTTTGTGAAATATTTGTCAACACATTCATCCTTCATGTGGCTTCTGCCCATATCTTTCAACAAGAGAAGCTCTTTGCATAGGGTTCAGTGTTTTTGTGTGGTATTACAAGGATACCAAAACTCAATGGAAATTAAAGTGGGATGTTTTGGCTCGCCAACATTAATGCATATGAAATCACAAGAGTAATGCAACTGATGATGGACAAAATGATCATATACAGTAAACTCCACTGTCACTGTTTCACCATTTTCATTCTTCATACATTTCTATCCCATTGGAACTATTTGTTCAGTTCAATGATCTTTCCATATGATAACATGGGCTTCCCAAACTGCCTCACATTAATACTTCTAACTGAAACATGCATTCTCTAGTGCCCCAACATTATCTTATACTGGTACGGGCCTTCAAAATGCCCCAACACCTCAAATTGTAAGACTCGCTCTCAATGTCTTCTTGGTCTGAATCTTGTTATCTCAACATGATGTGGGTTCAGTCATGCCCCAATATGGGTATTCTTGGATTTCTTCGAGCCCAACATATCTTAATCTTGAATGGTCTCAACCTGGTGTCACTAAAGAAGTGTTGTCAAATAGTTTGAGGGCTTTTATTTATGTTGCCATGGACGCTTAAGAAGTGATCAACCATTATAACATAATGTCTTACATTTTGTTATGAGCTAGGAAATGTGTGCCCCTTTCTTCAAATAAAGTGATTATCTTATTCTTGACTGGTCGCACTCTTACATTTTTGTTATGCACTGGGATAAATGCCCCTTTCTCATAGGGTGATCATTTTCTTGATAAATTTCTGACAATGTCACAAAGGAGTGTTACGAGCTCCATTCCTCAGTTCTTCTGATCTCTAGGATCATCCACTTTCAAGATTGTGGAATGATTCATGTTCTGTCATCGCTTATTCCTTTTATCCAATAGAGGCATAATGAGCCTCAACAACTTCAAGGATCTTTCACATTTGAAACTGTCATGTTTGAAAATATTTTCCCCCTTTCTCTTATTTTAGGGATCAAAGAATGAAAGAATTTTATAAAACATTGCCCCTTAATTCAGGCTCACAATCAAATCAAATCATAAACATGAGTTCATAGAATATCAAAAGAATCAATAGCTCTTTAATGTTTTTAGGGTTATAGCTCTTTGACAAATATCAAAATTGAGGGGTTGGTTTCAGGTTGGCTTCCTATTTTCTAAGGTTTCGACTACCAAAATGTCATTTCTTTCTTGGTCATCGTGAACATCATAACAATGCCCTTCTTTCTTGGCTTGGTATTTTAATCGGATGCGGACAAAATGATGCAACTATCATAATCAATCACTAGACTTTCTAGAACACTTCTATTTCAATTCTCTGAAATCTTCCATTTGTTCAAGCTTCGTAGACTCCTCTAACCAAGACAGTGCAGAAATATCGATCTAAAAATAGAATTTCTAAGTGCTCGTGTGAAATTGACTATAACAGGTGTTCCTTAACTCCCTTAGTCCATCTTTACCGAAACTCATTATTTATAAAATTTATTTAATTTGTCATTGTCTGGCTAGCTGAAATCAGCTTTATTGTAATTTTCCTTTATCAGGCTAGCTGAAGGGTTCATCTTATCACAAAGTCTTTGACTTGACAATCACAGTGGTGCATACACCGAATTGCCAAGTACCCGATCAAGGTCATGGCTTGAATATAATCTATTCATAAAGCCAGGGCTTTCGAGTTTCCTCTATAACCAATTGCCTTAGCAGAATAGCTCAGCTTTATTGTATACACATATAATTACATTCTGGGTATACAGATTCAATTTTTTAAGCTTGTCAAAAAGAACCTGTTATAGTCCCGGTGTTTGTTAAAGGTCAGAAAATCTCATCGTTAGAGTTCAATTCCCAAGCAACTAATCTAAACTAGACTCATCTATTCGACTATTACATCTGTAAAAATTATACTTATCATTGAACGTCATCAACAAAAGTGTGGTATAGTCAGTTTTGTAACATAATATACAATAGGTGCCCCATGTTGTCTGCTCCTGTGCATGCCTGAATACCAAGCCTATTGTTCATTCACTTATGATAAAAGAAGGTTGTATCGGTCCTTGCAATAAAAAGGTATGGTGTTCGATTGTATCTTCTGGGGATAAGGTCAAGGTCCTTGTTTTATCAGGTTTCAACCTTGTCATTTTGTCAAAGATTTATAACTCTAATCATTTAAAGAGTTTTTAATTCAGTTGATATTCAAAGAATTTTAAGATTGCAAATTTGATTCAATGCTCACCATCTTTAAAGTAACATAAATTTATTTAAATACCCTTACAAAAAAAGATGAGAAAGTACAAAAAAAAAGTTCAAACAAGATGCTACAAATGGAAAATACGATTGCGGTAGAGCACAACCTTCATTTGTTCAGCCCGAATGCCCTATTTTCCCCAAAATGATGGATGCCCAGTTGGATTAGGGTTTTTACCCTCACTTACTCCCCATTTCTCGATCATTTCTCTTGTCAGGACTCCCTTGTCAACGAGACTTTCTATCTCTTCCTTCAATGGTATGCACTTGTCAGTGTGATGGCCCAATGCCCCTAGATGAAAATCGCAAGCACTGTTTGGGTCATAGCCATAAGCGGATGGGCTAGTCTTCATTCTTAATGGCCTTGGAGTGAGGTACTGATTCTTGATTAAAGGGGATAACAAGTCGGAAATGGGCACTTGAAAAACCTTGAGGGTCGTATTTTCCCAAGACATCTTCTGCGGCCAGTCTCGGACTACCTCTCCTTTAACTTTCTTCTTGTCACTTCCTACTTCTATCTTCTTTTTTAGCGTCAGAGAGGTCTCAAGAGTTGAGTCCTTTATCTCTGTTTCACATATCTCGCTTTCCTTGATTTTATTTTTCTTCTTTTCAACACTCTCTTTGGCATGTACTTCACTTGTTTCAACCCCATTAACTTCATTATGGCGATTAACTTTCAACTGCTGAACATCCACCTCTATAACTCTATGAGCCAAAAGATCTCGAACCTGTCTCTTGAAATTGCTACAATTCTCGATGGAGTGTCCTCGGGCTCCAACATGATATTCACAAGTAACATCCTCATTATACCAACTCGGATAAGGGGGCAACAAAGGCTTGGCCAGACGTGGGACAATCAGTTGGGCTTGGAGCAACTTTGGATATATCTGGCTATATGAAAGCTCTTTTGATCCCACTTTCTCCTTGTCGTTATTATGATCATATTGAAGACCTTGTGACTGACCACTGGAACGTTCGCTTTGAAGGCTTAACGTTTGACCAACATCTTGGGAGAGACATTGATTTGCAGATCTCCCTTCATCGACAAGTTTTGAGATTCCAGGGAGCTTAGGTTTTCCATTTTCAAAGCATAACAACCCTTCCATGATGAAGTTTTGAACTTTAAATCTCAGGATCGTACAATCTTCTGTAGAGTGGCTAAACTCTTGATAATGATAACCGCATGATCTTTTGACATCTTTCCAGTCTGGACGCAAATAAGTGTTGCACCTCGTAAGAAAAGGCTTTAAGAGCCCACTTTCAATGAGAAAGGGTAACAAGTCTGAATATGAGATCAGAATCGGAATCAGAGGTGTTATCTTCTTCTTGTTTCTATTCTTTTTGGCCTTCTTTACTGGCATTTGAGCCTCCTCTATGCCTCTTTTCTTTGAGTCCGGCTCCACTTTCGTATTAGAAGTTTCACCCTTAACTTCTACTTTTTCCCAGTATGATCTCCGTAGCATCTTCTGGAATCTTACTTGATTTTTGGAGTTGACTTGAATTACCACATCCCCTAACAGGTTCTTGATCAGTTGCTATCATCACATTGGCTGCACCATTAACATTCAGATTCTCACCCGAAGTCTTCATCTGTTCTTGATCATTTGCTATCATCACATTGGTTGCACCACTAACATTCAGATTCTCACCCGAAGTCTTCATATTTTCTTGTGTAATAGGGTCATCTGATGATTTCTCCCCATATATCACTGTAATCATCATGGTCATCAACTTGGACATCTGTCTCCTAGATTCAACTTGGAACTTCCTTGCTTCAACTTGGAACTTCCTTGCTTCATCAATCATTTCTTGTTGGGTCCTTACGAGCTGTTCTTGAATTCTCTCGATCTTACTAACTCGTGCTAAGATCTCATTCATTGTTGTCTATCTTTCCAGAAACACGTCTCAGGGTAACTTCAATTTGCTTTCAGAGCTTCTGCCACATCATCCTTCACGAGTTACTCTCATATTTTCATGATTGATGCATGTAAAAATGCTTAAATTAAAGTAATGCAAATGCAAATGTGGATGTCAAATGCAAATTCAAAATGGGTGTGCAAAAATGCGATATGCAAATGCAACCCGATATTGATTCCAAAATAACTTAGTTTATAAAAAGTACTCAACAACTCACAACGTCTAAGCACTTAGGCAAAAAGATTATATCGACGTAAATACTAAACGTAGAATCTTACCCTATTCCCTAATCTCTTGAGCTCTATCATCAATTCCATGATTCGTCGTTCTTCCTCTGGATCACGAAAACTCTTAAAGCTGTCGCTTCTTCAGATAATTCGTAGACTTGACGAGAAACAACATTGGTCTGATTCATTGCTCTCTCCATTGCTTTATGTTGTCTTTGAATGGTGTCCTGAACCTGTCATAGCGCGGTTCCATGTTCTGGATTAGTCCATGGTCGACTCTCCTCTAACTGCTGAATTTGCTGATTCCATTTATGTATTGTAACTTATAGATCAAGAAGATAGCTTTTAAGGCCTCATTTTCCAGTCTGGCTATTTATTGTACGGATGAGTGGATCAACCCTGCTTCCTCTAGCTCCATTATCTTCTTTTTAACATCTCATTTTCTTTTTGAAGACGAAACTCATTGTTGTTGTAAGGGTTCTGAAAAGTCTCATCGATACTAAATAGATGTGCTTCGAGCTGCTCAATTTGTACTCACCTCTGTGCCAATTCCTAGTTAGCCTCATCTCTTTGCTCTCTCAGTCTCTGAGTATGCTGCAGGGCTCGGATAATTACCTTCTCTAGCAAAACTGATTCTTCGATAGTTACAAGGTTGTCTCTGAACCGCGTCTGCCCATACTCGGACCAAGTTTGAACACTGATTGCATTCTCAGTCCCATCGGAAGACATTTCTACCTTAAGCTCTTTTTATAATAACTAGGTAATCTGGGAATCAATATCGTTTATGATGTGATATGATATGCAAAAATGCAATAAGAGCATATAAAAGAAAATCAATGTTAGTAGAAACAAGACAAAAAGAATCAAGTTAGTTGAAATGATTAGTCAAAAAAATATAATATTAAATATGACTTAAAGTTGGACTAAAAAAATAAAGCATACAAAGAAAATTAATAATCCTAACCGCATGCGTTCTAGTTCTCCTAGGTTATCCATATGGCTCTAGCGGGGTAGGCTTACTAAATTCTCTATATGAGGCTGGGTTCTAGCAAAGGGTTCCCAAGCCATTTTTACAACCTGCTAAGGTTGCCCCCCGATTCTGGCCCATTACAGACTTGCGAATCGAGTTCAACTCAGGGGATCACACCACTAGAAGCGTACCTCGGAACTAATATCCGGATAGGCAACTTAGGGTGCTTTCCAGAGATACTTTGTCAGACCCACACAAGGAAGCCCAATGCTCCTCGTGAGGTGTGACGTTTCTCTCTGCTTAGGTAAATCGGGTTGAGCTCGAGTTAGAGCTTATGATATGCAACAGTCCTAAATATTTCACAGAAGTGTAAGCATTAACCGGAGAGAAATTTTTTTTGGCTTTTTGAAATAACATAATGAACCGTAAATTAAACAAGATCAAACTCGTAATTTCCAAATAATAAATATAGGGTAACCAACTCGTGGCTCGACTCTCAATTTGTTTTAAAAACAAAAGTCCCCAGCGGAGTCGCCAAGCTGTTGCAACCGTTTTTTGACCGGTGGGGGAAAGACCGATACCGACTTGGGGGTTTTCTCTTTGAAATGATTTTCAAAATATGAGGAGTCGCCACCAATCATTTAAGGTGAGATTAGAACACCGTGAAAACTAGGTGATTTTAATAAAATATTTTATTTTAATAAAATACCGAGTTTTGGGGTCTTCGAAAATCCAAAAATTAGGTTCGAGAGTCAGTTACGCGTGGGGAAGGATTAGCACCCCCACAAGCGCCCAAAAATTAGTACCTAGTTGATTACCCTGTATTTAAAATTAGAAATTTAGAGTTTGATCTTTATTTAATTTAAAAATCATTAACGATGCAAAGTTGAAAAGGGTATTCGTTTATCGAGACCGATAGCATTCACCCCCGAGCGTAAATGCGGGAGATCAACTATTGTGCCTAATAACCGAATATTGCCTCATTTTTAGAAAACATGATGTGGTTTTGAAAAGGATGTTGACTTATTCAAGGAATTACCAGTAGTCACCCCCTGAGCACGATCGCGGGAGATATACTATTAATTCCTTAATAAGTGAACAGTGTCTTAAATTTGTAAAAACAATGCAATCAAACAAAATTTTATTTTTCTATAAGTAAACTAAAGCCTTTTCTAACTTAAAGTTTCAAATTATGAAAATTAAAGAACCTAGATGCTCAAATCTAAAAACGTAGGCTCTAATATTAATCCTATTTGATTTTAATTTAATTTATGATCCTATAAAACAAACATCAAAGGTATTATTTTATACCAATAATCATTTAAAATACCTTCCTAATTAGTTAAGAAAATATTTCATGTTTTATTATATAAAATAATTTAACCTTAACACATAATAAATTTAATGATTAAATCAAGAAAATATAAAAATTCAAAGTCACTATTGCGATGTTTTTCTTAATATATATATATATATATATATATATATACCTTTTTAAAAAAATAAAGTAAAAAAAAAATAATAAAATACCAAACATATTAAAATATTTAATAAAGTATCATGATGTATACATGCAACATGAATAGCTTTGTATTTAAAGTGAGAAATAATAAATGTAAATTATAGGATGCATAGTCATATACATGAAAAGTATAAAACACATTAACCATATGAACAAATTAATTGAAAATTATCAACTAAATTTATTGCATAATACATGCACATATATATATATATATATAAATGAGACAAACATATAAACAAATTACACCCAAAAGTCAAACAAGTTGATGCCTATATTAAAGTTATAGTAAATTATAATAAGGGAAACAAAATTATGGGTCACAATCAAATTAAAAATATATATTTTGTAAACATGAAAACAACTTATGAATCACGTGAAAGTGTAAACATATTGAAATTAATCTTCATATATTACAATAAAACATAATATAAAATAAAGTGGGTCATATATACATGTACGCATAGCACTCACACATGAAAAACAATTGATTTATATGGGTTTTAAAGGAGGGAAACAATGATTAAAATAAGGAAACAGAAAGTTAGGGGCCCTAGAACCTAATTTACCATTCACTTCAATGACTAAAATTTAAATTACCCTAAAAATGTAATATAAATCCTACTTTTACACTTAACCTAGACTAAGCAAGCCCCAGCCATTTCTATTCTTCATCCCCCATCTCTAACTCTTCTTTTGTTTTCACAATTGGCCGAATAAATCCAGAGCCATACGCCTATCTTTCCCATGCTCCGGTCACTCAAACAGAAAGTTACATAACTCTCTGTGCCGACCACCTAGCCTCTCAACCACGAGGACAACCACTCCGACAGTAAGAGATCGCAACAATAAGGTAAGAAACTAAAACTTGCTTATTTCCATTTTTTATTTTCGAAATCTCAATAAATGATAACTAAACCGAAAAAGAAAACATGCAAGGATGCAAAACAACTTACTACGATCTCACCCAACTTCGGCGACAGATGTTCCGACAACGACGAGACAATAAGCGAGGAAGGTAACAAAACGAATTTTTTTCTTATCTTTTATAATTTCTATTTCATTCGTAACCAAAAAACTAAAATAGTTCTTGAAAGATGACTAAATGCTTCTGAAATTTGCATTATGTATTTGTTTCTAAAAAACGGGTAGAACCCACTGTAACATCGCTTTGTTCATTACAACGAATCCCTCTTGTCTGTTGAAGAACCAAACTTACAAACTGTTTTCACTCCGTTTTTTATCGTTATTGATCCCCCAATTTGTTTCCCAATTAATGGTTGATAGAGTTAATCATCCCCTATTTATGTTTTCTTTGATTCGAATGGTTCCCGTGTTTTCCCCCCAATTTACAATTTTTTCCCCTCAAAAATCTAAATTTCTCCTTTTGTTCTTCGATCCCCCTCCTGGTATGCGAATCTGCTTCCCAATTTTATCTCCTATTCTTCACCGAATCTTCTTGTCATCTTCTGTTAATTTCCTTGTGTTTGGTGAAATTTTGATTGGAGCAGGTAAAGTGATTAATTATTTGCTGACTTTGGAGATATTTTAATATGGATTTGTTGTAGGTTTCATGTGGGCAGCTCGGTTGGGGGTGCTGAAAGGGCGTGCACGAGTTGCTGCTAGGTTGAAGTGATCCACGTGGGAGGCATGGGTGACTGTGTGGAGTTGTTGCCACCGGGTCGGATCTTGTAACGGGTCTGGATCCGAGTCATGTAACCTGTAAAAAAATAGTTATATTAATAATAATAATAATAATAATATATAATAATATTAAAAGACGAGACGAAAAATAAGTGTCGACAAATATTATATTATACTTTTATTATAGAATATAGAAATTATTCTATATTTGTCAAAAAAAGTATTCTAGATTAATTCAAAAGACATTATATCCTTTAAAATGAAAATAATATTTTTATCACTATATCAAAAATCATATTATATAACTCTACATAATTTTCGTAAGTTTTCACTAAATATAAAGTGCATGGGAAAATGGAAAATGTAGAATATCCATGTTTTACGATGTGGATTGGAGTACACGCGCTTCCTCAATGCGGTAGAATTGCAATACTCGAGGCCAATAGAGCATAGTCAGCTTTAGCAATCGATGGGTCCATTTATCCGGAATCGAATGGTCCCGAGGGCCCACAATCGACTCTCACTTCTTCATAGGCTCCACCTGAATGCAACATTTTCTGAATAAAAAAACAACAATTTCTGGATCCAAATATTATATTTATTATTTGTGTTGAATTTAGAGTTAATGTGAGGGGCTTTCTCTTTCATATATATCAACAAACATCTTTCACTATTTTATATGATTATGAATTATATCCCTCATTTTATAAAATTGAAAATTTAACATTTTTACTTCAATTTATAAAAAAAAACTTAATTTTCTTATTTTATGAAAAGTATAAAGTATATCTTTGTGGATAACACCCTTATTTACTACATGGAAATAGAAAAAAATCAGCAATTCAACTCAGTTTATTTGCAATATGTATATTAAATGTTGTAATATTATTGTTTTTAACGATTACATTCTAAAAACAACAACAATACAATGTTTTTTTTAATTAATATGGGAGCAAGTAAAACATAGTATTTATTCAAAGATGATTCTCAACCATTTGATATTGAACACTCATTCTCCTAACATTTTTGGTACTCGAACCCAGGACTTCAAGAAATAACAATAATTCCTTTATCACCAAGATTACTTAATTCTTGCAACATTAACATTATAATGTTTGCTACACATAAAAGGTATTAATTTTCATTTAACATATAAGATATTAATTAAAATCCTTAAAAAATACATCAACATGTATGATTTATTGAACACTTTTAAAATATATATATAATGTACTTCTCAAAATTACCCATCACATTATTGTTATTATTATTCTCATATAAATGTTATAGTTGGCAATAGATATTGGAAATATTTTTATCTATTAGGAAATTATTACTTTAATATGATTTTTTATTAAACTAAGGTGATTATAAAATAATATATTTTCTAAATACCGTTAACCATTTGATAATGAATACTCAATGATCTTGTTGTAGTCGTTGTTGCTCAAAACTGTGACTTTTAGAAACAACTTCAGCCACTGAAGTAAGTTCGTTCGTACACTTTAATATGGAATTTTAAAAGTGGTATAATAAAAGCTCTTTGATAAATTTGTGGATTACAAGTTATAATTAAGAGAATATAGTATTAGAGCCTATCTATTTTAATTGTAGAAAGATATTAGTTAACATTTAACCGAAGCTTAGGTTACTAAATATATAACAGTATTTTTCTATTATTTGTAATGTCTAATAATAAATTGGCTTGATATATTTTTAGGTGTCTAAATTATACCTCAAATTGATTTTTGATGTCTAAAGAAGTTTTTTTTGTTAAAAATGAGTATTTTCTCCTTTATACTTTTAAGTGCCTACAGTTTAAAAAAATGTTACGTAATATGTTACATTTATATATTTTTTTATTTTTTCAAAAAATTAAAATATTTTAAAAAAAACTGAACGTGATATTTAACGATATTTTTAATGGTTGACACCTAAAAGTGTAACGGAGAAAAAAAATTAAGTATATATTTTTAACGAAAAAATCTTTAGACATTAAAAATCAATTTGATGTATAATTTAAACGTATAAAAATGTATTAAGTATGATAATTAGGGGATGACCAATGTGAAGATGGGTTATCAACCGACATGGTAGAAGTTGTTCACGTGTTTGGTTTGGTGTAGGGGCATCGTCAAGTTGGAATTTAATTTTTTTATAAATAAATAAATTGATTAATCGATGGATTATTGCTATTTGATTAGAAATGGTAAATGGAACAACCGGCAGGATAGCCATTTCAATCTCGGTTGGATCTTTCACCAAGTGGAGTACATCTTATATAAGGCTTAATTTATTATTAATTGATTTAAATATTTTTATTGTTTATTTAACATTTTGATAGACGTTAGACAAAATGGGCACAAGACTCGATACATGACATGAGTACCATGTAGTTGTTTTATAACGGTCTCTTCTACCTAAGAAGATTAACCGGACTTATACCTATTCAGGTAGGATATTTGAAAATTGCTAAACTCGATGCATTTAATTAATTAATACATTTCGTTTTTAATGCTAAAATTTCAGCAGAAATATAGGATAAGCAGTAAGATGCTTTTGTCCAACATCAAGAATACTTGCTAAAATTTCATCTCCAACTATTTAATGGCATGATTTGATATTATTGCATTACTTTACATTAAAATATTCAACTGCTAATGTGTGGTTCTTCAAAATCCTTCAAAGCTTCATTTTGTTAAGTGCTGGAAACCGTTGCAGGTACTATTCAAATCTATTTTTCTAACGGTTACATCTTTGATTTTTTTTTTCTGTTCTCTATTTTTCGCTTTTATGCTTCCATTTCTTCTAGTTTCTGCTCTGTTTCTTTTCTCTGACTGTTTTTTATTTCTGTAAGTTGTAACTTGGCTGTAGCGTTGAATCAGAGATACATATCTTGAGTTGCTTTTTTTCTTTCTTTCTGATGAGAAATTATCTGGTGTTGATATTGAGCTGAAACCACTTTTTATTATTTTTGGTTGCGTTTTGATTTTGTATTTTCTCGTTTGTTTTTGTGGATCTAAGTGGTAGTAGTGTGTAGATCTGTGTTTTATAAGCTATAAATTTACTTGAGTTTTTCTAATAAAATAAAAGATCGCGTGTCCAATCCTCGTCGCAGTTTTTTTTCAAACAAAGGAAAAGAGCCAATTAGCATAGTTCTTCATTTATTCTTTAAAAAATTGCCAGCTTTCTTTTAGATTCTTTAGAATTTTACGTTGAACTGTTTATTATCTGTATTTTTTCATTGTCCTAGACTCCTAGTATCTTATTTCATTATCGAATTTTAAGTAAGATATAAATCCAATTATTGGTTTCTACCTGTTGGCCTTAAGTTAAGTAAGATAGTGTTAATTTGTCTTAAAATCCTATTAAGTAACTAACTAGGCTTCTTAGTACCCCTTAATTCTCTAGCATTTTATTGGTGCATCTTCTGTCTTCTTTGGATTCCTTTTTCATTGTTCCTCATAGCTTCGGCTATAGATGATTACTTGAGGTCATGTCCTTCTTTTAGATCACATAGGGCGTATAGGGGGAGGGCTCGACAGAGTGGTGTCAAGGAGACTAGACTTCGAGTTTGTTCGTTGAATGTAGGCACATTAAATGCTAGGCTGTTGGAGCTGACCGACGTACTTAGTAATAAGAAAATAGATTTTGTATGTATTCAGGAGACTAGGTGGAAAAGGGCTCTCGCCAGAGAGTGTAATGGGTACAAGTTGTGGTATTCAGGCGTAGATAACGCTAGAAATGGGGTGGGTATCTTGGTATCCTCTAGGCTCAAGGAAAATGTAGTTGAAGTTTGTAGATACCGGGATAGGATCATGATGATTAAGGTTATTATAGAAGCGGAAGCGGTGAATGTCCTTTCAGTGTACGCCCCACACGTTGGCCTAGGGTAGGGGGAAAACGTCGCTTCTGGGATCAGCTAGATGATGTACTTAGGAGCATTCCAGAGGACCAAAGAGTTTTCATAGGGGGAGACTTCAATGGCCATATAGGTAGTGCAACCGACGGGTGGTCACTAACACCTTCTTTAACAAGAGAGATGTGAACTTGATTACGTTCCATAGCGGGGGACATTGTACCCAAATCTACTACATCCTGGTTCAAAATCAGGATCGATGGGCTTGCATTGATTGTAAGATGTTCCCTGAAGAGGCATGTGCGTCACAACACAGATTGTTGGTTTTGGTGTTCCGTGTACGCCACGGGTGGAGCACTCATAGGAGGGCTAAACTTGGTAAACCTAGGATCCTTTGGAAGATCTTACAAGGAGCGACAACTGATGATTTTATGAGTAAGGTTTTGTCTAATACAGGTTTTGGAACTACAAACTCAAATAATACAGATATGTTATGGAAAAATATGGCAAATTCAATCAGAGAGGTGGGCAAAAACACCCTTGGGTTGTCGATAGGGAAGGTCAAGGAGCATAAAGAATCGTGGTGGTGGAACGACGAAGTTCAAACTAAGGTGAAGACAAAGCAAACTTGCTTCAAGGAGTATCTACAATGCAATGACGTCGAAGAAAGATCGAGAGCTAAACAAAGATACAAGGAGGCAAAGCGGGAAGCCAAGAAAACGATGGCTAAAGCAAAGAATAAGGCATACGAGGAAATGTACAAGAGATTAGACACCAAGGAAGGACAAAACGATATCTTCAGGCTAGTAAAATCCAGGGAGAATACGAAAAATGATCTAGGTAGCATTAGTTTTATTAAGGACGACAATGGTGTTCTTTTAATGAAAGATCATGATATTAAGAGGGTTTGGGTAGTTACTTTTTGGGCTTATTTAATGACGGTGCATCTCCCTGTAGAGATAGTATCGTTGGTGGGTCAGTCATCCATCATACTACGACCAATGATTGCCCTATAAGTAGAATTGGGTTTGAGGAAGTCAAAATGGCTCTTAGAAAGATGGGGAGGGATAAAGTTGTCAGTCCATATCAAATTCCTATCACTGTGTGGTTGGCCCTAGGAGAAGAGGGAGTTAAGTGGTTGACCAACATCTTTAATATTATTTTAGAGACTGCCAAGATGCTAGAGGAGTAGAGAGAGTCTACAGTGATACCAATCTATAAGAATAAAGAAGATTGCCAATGTTGTGGCAACTACAGAGGTATTAAACTACTCGGCCA